GTATGTGGATGACATACTACTCATAGGAAATGACATCCCAACTCTGCAGGAAGTTAAGTCCTGGCTTGGGAAGTGTTTCTCTATGAAGGACCTAGGAGAAGCTGCCTATATTCTAGGGATAAGGATCTTGAGAGACCGGAGTAAAAGACTAATTGGACTTAGTCAGAGTACTTACTTGGATAAGGTGTTGAAGAGATTCGGCATGCAGGACTCCAAGAAAGGAGAGTTACCCATCCAGAGTAACGCCAGATTGAGTAAGACACAAAGCCCTAGTACTGAGGCTGAGATAGCAGAAATGAGTCGAATACCTTATGCTTCGGCTGTAGGATCGATCATGTATGCTATGACGTGTACTCGACCTGATGTAGCCTTTTCTTTGAGCATGGTTAGCAGGTATCAGGGGAACCCTGGCAAGGCACACTGGACTGCGGTAAAGAATATCCTCAAGTACCTACGGAGGACTAAGGACTGGGTCCTTACCCTCGGTGGGAGTGAAGACTTGAGAGTTGTAGGGTATAGTGATGCTAGCTTTCAGACTGATAGGGATAATTTCCGCTCTCAGTCAGGCTGGGTCTTTACCTTAAATGGAGGAGCAATTTCTTGGAAGAGTTCCAAGCAAGAGACAGTGGCTGATTCAACTTGCGAATCAGAGTATATAGCAGCTAGCGAGGCAGCAAAGGAGGCGATATGGCTGAAGAACTTCATTGGAGACCTTGGAGTTGTACCAGCTATTAAAGAGCCAATGGAAATTTTCTGTGATAGTGAAAGTGCAGTTGCCTTAGCCAAGGAACCAAGGGATCACGGGAGATCCAGACACATCGACAGAAAATACCATTTCATCAGACATCGAATAGAAGAAGGACTCCTCGTGGCAAAGAGGGTATCATCGGATGAGAATCCAGCAGATCCCCTCACGAAGGGACTGACTCGGGTTAAGCATCTCCAGCATGCTCGGAGCATAGGGCTGAAGGATGATATTAGATTTAGTAGTTAGATAACCTTGAAATTTGTAAAGTGTAATTGACATTAGATGATGAATAAAAGGTGTTTTATTTATGAGTAAAGTGTTGCTATCTATTGTCGATCGTTTACTATATTTCTTTTGCATGTTTTGACTTCCAGAATAATTATGTTTGGTATATCATATTATTCGAACCTCCACAGTCGGTCATATGTCGGAAGTAGGTATGAATCAAGACTGTCATGATTGGTTGCAGAGGTCTAAGTTGTTGGACATGGCTACAACACTCATGAGTGCTCATAAGTTCTGAGCATTGGACTCAACCCACGCTCACTGGAATCACTTCATGGAATTTATCTCGAGTGATCGTGAGACGGTAATATCATATAAGTCTTCAAACCTAGAGATATGATTTGTTACTTATGAGTTGGTTATGCATTGATTGTACGTTAACGCATTGGTAACTCGATGTTATAAAACGTGCTTTTGTGTATAATTCAATGAGTGGTAGAACAAACATATGAGTCGAAGTTTATCTGTTCCTTCTTGGATTAGAAGCTGATATCTGGGCCCCTCGATGATTTTGTTTTGACCTATGTACCAGGCCCGGTCAGAACTAAGTTGATGTGTTCAATTAAGTTCTTTGTCAAACAAATCGGAAATCGGGAAACAAACTGCTGGACAATAAGTAAGACATTGTTCCATGTATTTGTCCGGCTGATATCTAGAACAGAGGATTATATGATCACTTATCTTAAATGGCGTATCATCATCTTCTCAGTTCCGAGAGACCTTGAAAGAGCTACGATTGCCGATCGGTTCCTGAAGTATTGCAGTTATAGTTATTAGACTTATCCAAGTGGGAGACTGTTGGATAAGGTGTCTAAGTCCATAACTATTTCTGGTATGTACTTGACCCGACCCGGCATGGTCCATTTGGGTTGCATGGCACCATGCAATTGGATAAACTAAAATGAGAGAAATAACACTTATGGTTTATTAATATATTATAAGTTCTAATATATTAATAATATTATTTAATTAGTTTGATCAAGAATTAATTTAGAATTAATTAAGTGATCAAAAGATAACTAATTAAATATATGGGTAGATTATGTAAATCTTCCATATCTTATATAGTGGGCTAAGAGGCTCCATGGATTATCAAGTTGGGTTCCACCCATAGGATGCTCCATGGGAGTTACAAACCCATGGGTCATGGAAATGAAGAGTCATGACACATTAGGGTTTACATGGTGTAACCCTAGATGTGTCAACACTATATAAGAAACCCATTCTCCACCAAAATAGGCTACACTAAGAAACAAGAGGGCTAGAGCCGATTTTGCAAGTGTAAGATTCTCTCAAAGTTTACTCCTTTGCATTTGGTGTTGTGTGAAGCATTTGAGGCATCACACTTGGGGTGCTAGGCTCACAAGGTTTCAAGGATCATAATCAACAACAAGGTAAGTTATTCTATCTTTCATTCAAGTTAAAAATGTTCCCCATGTATGCTAGATAGGAATATAACTTTGGAATTCAACTTTGCATGATTATTATACAAACATAGATCCAAGGTTAGTAGGGTTGCATGTACACTTAGGAAGTGTTAGAATGCTCAAAACCCATCAGTTAATGCATAAGGGTCTTTAACAGGCTTAATTTAACAAGATTCACCACATAAAAATTAATCAAAATAGTAATTTAATCCATAGGAGCAAACTTGTCTACCCTAAACAGAAACTAACGAAATTAGTTCATAATTGCAGTAGATAACAAACTAAAAACGAATTCAAACAAGCTAGACATAGTTCTATTCAAAGGTAAAGTGGAAAATTAAACCTAAGTTGCCTTAGTCTTCTTAAAATTGAGGATTAGGGTTCTTCTCATGTTCTTCAAATCTCCAGCAGTCTCCTTAGTCGCCAAGTAAGCTTCCCAAAAGCCAGAGAGAGTCAATTCGGGTTTGTTGCTTCTATTTATAGATTTCTCAAAACAGGGTCTACTCGTCGAGTAGACAACTGACTCGCCGAGTCCCCTTTAAGAATCCGTATACGGCAAGGAATTTACGTATTGCTTCTCGAATCTTCGTATGTACTCGTCGAGTAGACGTCCCTACTCGCCAAGTAGCTTCAGGATTTAGCATTTTTCTTCTTTCTTCAGTTCCCGAGCTTTCGATCATATCTCCTGCTTCCTTTTATCTCCGAGCTTCTCTTTTGAACCGAAAATACAATTTGAACACTATTAAGTATCTTTTGTCCACAATATGTAAATAATTAGCTAACAATTAATGAAAACCTATACTAAATATATAGCTAAATATGCACATGTCAGCATACATGGCCCCATGCGTAGGATTACACATTTCCTCATCATCGGAGCCCGAAGACCAAATTTGATATGTGCCATCATTCTCCTGTTCACCTTGAGCCACCAAAGACAAATTTTTCGCCTTCGTACGCACCTCGTCCAACCTCTCCACATAATATGCCTCATCCTTCACTCTATTCTTTATCTCATCCTTCTTTCAAAGCATGCAATCATTTGTTAGATGATTTTCTCCATTGCAATAATGACAATCCATACCAGAATCTCCTTTCAATTTCTTCTCTTTCTTCTCCTCAGCACCATTCGCATCATTCTTCTCATACTTCTTCTTCTCTTCTCCTGCAGCCTTGTTCACGAAACTTCCTTTTCCCTCACTTTGCTTCACCTTTGAATTAAACGGTTTCTTGAAAAACTTTTTGACTCGGTTGTTTGAGTAAAAAACAATTGCCTCATCATCTGAATTCATGATAAACCCCTCTTCATCATCAGAATCATCTTGATTCTTTACGAAGTCCCATAACAAAGGTGAGATTGAATTCCATGGCAGACCTCGTGATTCCATAACGATTGCATTTGTAAATCAGCTCATTCAGCCTATTATAGTAACTTTCAATCGTTTCACCATCTTTTTGCTTGAAATCCTTCAATTCAATCAAACATTGCTTAACTGAATTGATTTTCGTTTTCTCGCTACCTTGAAACTTTTCTTTGAGATTATTCCAGATGTCCTTTGCAGTTGTACAACTTCTGACATAGTTATACACAACTGGAGGCAATACACCACGTAACTCCCTTATGCATCGTTTTTCAAGTTTCTTCATTCGAACATTTTGATCTTCCACACTCGTAGTACCAGACGACGATCCAATTGGTTGAAGATTCGTCGGAAGAGTAACATTCCCTGAGATGCAATACCAAAGCTCTTCATCGAGTCCATTCAAGTAATCTTGCATACGATCAGGCCACTGATAATAGTATTCCGAAACGAGCATAGGAATCTTAGTTGAAGATCCTAGCAGATGAGAGTATGAATTCATCGAGTTGAGATTGAAGTTCGCCATTGATGTATGGAAGAAGATTTTTGAGAGTTTTTGAAAAATCAAAAGAGAATTTGAAAGCAAATTGCTGAATTGAACAGAATTATCAAGTAGAATACTCGATTCAACAAATCAGTTGCAGAATCATATCACAACTAAAGATCTAGAACGCTTTTTCACGTCAAAAGATGCGGAACTTTTTGAACCAGAAAATTGAATCAAAAACCTTTTTGAATCAGAGTGAAAATTAGATCTCAGATCATGATTCCTGCTCTGATACCAATTGATGAAGTGTAGAATCAAGTATGAATCAAATCAGAGTTATAAGAATATAGATTGAACACACGATGTAAATATGATCTGGTTTTAGCTCTATTATGCTTTCAACTGTTACAGAGAGTATGTAGACAAGTTCATACAAAGACTCTTATCTAACTCTAAGTAATGTCCCTATTTATAGGAAACATGAAAGCACACAAAAAATTACAAGGACTAAAACAGTACACTTCGTTACATAAATGCCTTGTAAAATAAACTTATGACTTCGACTTATTACAACTGGTCTTCGACCCTTACAGTATGGATGAAAAACAGTAGCTGAGGATCAAGAGTAAAAGCGTTTTACAATTTATGTAATCTTAAGCTATGAACTTTTCATAATTTCGATATATAGTCAGTCATACCAAGCAAACAGCACAAGTTAGACTGTATTCCAGAACTACATAATCTGGAAGCACCAATTTCAATACAAGTTTTGAAATTATAACCCTGAGATCACAAGAGAAATAACTACAAAGCTCATAGCAGATCATTTCATTTGATTCACTGAAATTCATATAAAAAGCCACCAGTTCAATCAACCATGGTGATTGTAAGATCTCCAAGTGTTCAGCCTGCAGCTTAGACCTGAAGTTCACGCCACTTACAGAGTTGTGCACCTGAAAAACAAACATAAATCATAATCGCAACACATCAATCCAAAAAGAAAAGAAAAAACAGCAATCTAAAGAAATAATAGGATATTTTCTTACTTTGTCGTATTTCTTAAGAATTTTCCTAAGATCTATAGCATTCATGATAACATATTTGATTAACATCTGCCCTTCCAGTACAAGTGCTTGTTTCATTTTTGAAACATTGAAACAAGTGTAGTAACTATCTCGGCATACCAGTTTTGTAATGAAGCTGGACAAGATGTCTGACTCTAGAGCTAATACACCCCATTATATCAGAATCTTCTTTCATTATCTCGCTGAATAACATTCGATCACACCCTACATTCATAAACAAATCATGAATAAAAACATCACAATCGTATACAATACATAAGACACATATTCATGATATGTTCTTAAAATTTACGTAATGTCAAAATTGGTAGTTTGTAAGAGTCTGCAAGTGTAAAGAGCAGGATTACTAATTATAAACAATACAAACAAATGCATTAAGAATCACAGAATCAGACTTTGATGCTAAGGATGGAACTTCCCAGTTCCCACCACCAACAGTAAGAAGTACTCTCATCCAATCTAGTTATAGTGTCCCGTGACAATCTGATCCTAACCGACTAGTCAAATCTCCAATACTTTTAGAGTAAAAAAAGTTTGTCCTGTGAAAAAAGTGAGGTTACAAATGATGTTGATATATTATAATGATGTTTTTGTCCAGAAAGCTTCATATAACCTCCTGATCAGATTACTAATAAAAATGGATTTATTGGGCAAATTGAACCTAGACACCAAGTCTTGTAGTTCAATCATCTTGTGCTCGAGTCCTTTTGTTGCATATAGATAGACAAGGTAGCCAAAAGTGGTCTCATCGGGGTGAACACATAACAGAGACATTATGTCGAGCACCTTGTGTGCATTAGTAACCGATTCTTGTTCAAGGCAACAACCCTACAAAATTGTGTTATAAGCAGACAAATTAAGTTTGTGATATATCAACCAATAGATCTGATAGTACATAAAAAATATCTAAAATGAAAAAAAAAACATGTTTATATACCTTCCCTGTACCGTCCATGGCGACTATAAGGGTGTAAGTTCGTTTAGAAGGAGAGGAGAGACGTATGTGAGAATTGATATTTTGGAAGGGTGATTGAGTTGTGAAGAGTGAAGTGGAGTCGAGCTTCGAAGAGCGGTAGAGCCCGGAGAAAAAAGGCGGAGTAGCAGCGGGGGATTTAGGACCGGAGAGTTGGGATGTTGGTGTAAGAGAAGTTGAAATTATCGCCAAACTAAACCCTAATTCAGAGCTTGGAGTCCATAAAAATGGTGATAGCTGGTAGAAAGTGGTGAATAGAGGGACGAATGAGTATTGAATATGATCTAGGTTCATTGTTGTTTGTAGTTGATACCATGGTTGCAGAGCGCCAAAAATCTGAAAGGGAGAAAGATTCACAACTGCACAGTGCTAATAGGGTTTCTTCGATAGAGGATTTTACATCAGAAGGAGGAGATGCATCACTTTGATAACATCAACATCAAAAAGATGAAAGGGAGAGGATCGGAGAACAAGCGGGGTTTTGAATTTTTTGGGATTTCATTTCCCACCTTGTATTAAAGGATGGAGGCGTGTTTCACCCAAAAAATATAAAACGACATTCTTACACGACACCCGTTTAACATAGGTGCCCTCCGTGTTTGTAAATTTTTTTCTGTTGGACACCAATTTCAGGGCACGCAAAAATGCGCGTCCTCTACCCTTCATATTTTTAAAAACTGACATTATTTTTAGGACACACAAAAAAAGCGTATCGTAAATCAGTGCGTGTCATTGTTCACGCGTCATTAAAGGGCTGTTTTCTAGTAGTGTATGTAATGTTGGGACAAGAATATGTAATGGTTATTATATGTAATGTAAGTTTGTTGTTTAGTTTTAATGTGAACTGGTATTAGTAAGGAAGCAAATTGTCAATTTAATTACATGTAAGTGTAAAGTTGATTATTAATGTGTAATAACATAACCAAAAAACTAGTTACCAAAGTGGAATTACCAAAATTGAAAGTGTACTAGTTCGAACATAGTAGACCAAAATACCATTAACCATAATGGATGTAAGTGTAATATCATGTTTACAAACATACAATACCCAAAATACCTATCAAAAGTAATTGTTTCTACAAACATACCATAACCAACCATAGTAGACATGTTAAATACTTAAACATCTAGAAAAAGCATACTTAAAGCTACAAACTAAACTGCAAGTGCTTTCCTTTTCTTCTTTCCACTCCCCTTTCCATCTTCACTAGGACCTCCCTTCCCCTTGCATGTCTTAGCATTGTGACCTTTGTTATGGAATTTGTTGCAAGTGACTGTCAAGTATTTCCTGCTTAAGGTGGTACTTTAAATTGTCTCATTAGTTGCCCTCTTCCTTTATTCTTTGTCCTGCCAACCTATAAACAAATTTATAAGGATACATATCAACAAGTTTAGTGATTATTTTCAAATTGAATTATGCAAAACATGTATATCAACAAACCTGTTTGTGATGTTTGGGTGGGAGAAGGGTTGTTGGATAATTAGATCTAGGCCACATGCTCCTTCCATTTATTCGGTCAATTGTGTGTCGGTACATAGCATTCCATGTACTAAGCCAGTAACAATTGTTCACCCAAGCCTCAAGATCTCCACCTTCTGACCCATTCTGCATCTTATAATACATTGCAGCGATAGCATGCTAGCATGGAATACTTGTAATGTCCGAATTCCTGCAAGTGCAACTCCTCTCTTTCAAGTTCACAACATACTGCTCCATCCATAGACCAGTTACTTGATATTTATCAAATCCAGTGAATAAAACCTTCATATGATATGCCTATGTCTTATTGTTTTCTAAGATTGGTGTTGCAGTTGTACTTAGAGAACATTTGCATTTGTCTAGCACTTTATGAACATTTACTATTCTATTTGTGAGGTATTCTCTAATAAATTCCAAAAAAGTGATTATAGGCTTGTCCCTGACCTCATCTAACTTGGAGTTAAATACCTCACACAAGTTATTTGTCAAACTATCAGTGATTTCCTTTCCTATGTATAAAACCAAACAATGAATTAGTGAAATCAATTATGAAATATGTTAATGAAAAGAGTATCATACTTACCAGAGAAATGGGATTTTGCCCAGTTTTTTGCAGGAATTTTAGTTAACCACTCATGCGCTTGTGGGTTAAGCTTTTTCAGTTTCTCCATAGCCCTATCAAAATTTGGTATGCTATATGCTTTTCCACAATACCATATTACTTCCCCCAATTCATATCCCTTGTGTTTCAATTTCATGTTGTCATACACATGCTTTAAACATAACCTTTGCTGAGCTGATGGAAAAAGCTTCTATATTGCAGCCACGATTCCCTGTGAATACAATTAACATAATTTAGTAAATAAAAATAATAAAGTGAAGTTTGTTGAATTTAGAGGTACCTTTTGTTGATCTGAAATGAAGGTGAAGTTTGATGAAGAATTAAAATCCAAGTCATTACGTAAGTGTTCCAAAAACCATGTCCAAGAGTTAATATTTTCAGTTTCTACAATGGCATATGCAACTGGGTAAATGCCATTGTTCGAGTCAAGCCTAATTGCACTGAGGATTTGTCCAGGAAAGGGACCCTTCAAAAACGTACCATTAAATCCAAGAAAATCCATCAACCCTTTTTGAAATCCCTCCTTCAATGGACCTAAGCATGTATATATATATATATATATATATATATATATATATATATATATATATATATATACACTTTTGAAGATCCTTGTTTCAAAACACGAGTTGGGTTCAGGTTCGACATCTATCTTCACAGTTGTTCCTGGATTCTTTGACTGCAATTCCATGGCATAGTCTCTCAAAATACCATATTGATTTTCATAATCACCATAAACAATTTTTTTCCATAGCTTTATCCTGAAATACTTTCATCTTTGATATTGAAAGTGAATACCTCTGTACCAAGTCCTCTTGTAAAGCACGTGTAGGGATATTGGGGTTACTTTCAACTTGATGCAGTATGTTGTTAGCGAGAAACTTAGATGAACAAGCCTCACTGTCCTTGTTTGCAAACAAGAATGACAATCTTGATATGTTTTAACAGTCCAACCTTGTTTTTCATCTGACCTAGAGAAAAAAAGAACCCATGTACAAGTTGTTTCTGTGGAAAGTACCAAATTGCCCCTGCCTTTATTAGTGACACTAGTCAATTCAGGGACAACACCCCTACACTTTACCCTAACTCTTGTCTTGTCATTCTTTACATAATGTTGATCCCTCCTTTCTTTTACATAGTAGTTGGCAATAACTTCTCAGATCTTTTCCTTTTCTTTGAGAGTCTGACCAATCTTAAAAGCTTTTGTGAGAACCTCACCAGATGAACAAGCAACTGGTTTTAGAATAGATTTTAACAATTTCTTTCGAGGATCTTGTTCACTAGAAAATGGCTCAAACACATCATTATTTAAGACTTCTAAAGGTTCCTCTTCAATGTCTTTATGTTCCTCTTTATTGTTGTTTGTCTGATCAGGCTACCCCAAGTCAATGTCTTCATCAACCACACTAAAGAAGTTGATCATGTTCACCTCCACATCATCTATCAAAGGTTCCTCATCAAACACTGTTTTTTTTGCATTATACTCACTATGAAATTCACTTTCCTCACTTTCATATTCACTATCCTCACTATCAGATTCACTATCATCACTATCATGTGCAGTAGTCATTATATCTTCATCATTATAACTTGTTTATTATCTATGATTAGCTCATCATTCATAACTGGTTCATCATCCATGACTGGATCATTACCTTATATCACTTAGGAAGGTCCACCAAATTTTCCATTGGCATAATGGACCGGGAGTAGTCTAGTTTTTTCCTAGAAGATCCAACACTTTTCCCTTATTTTGGTTCATATCTAGTTTAGGGGACACATCATTAACCAACTCCTCAATAATAACCTTTGTTGGGGGATAAAAAATAACTTTTAACGCTTATATGTCCATGCTCTATGTAAATACTAAGTTGGTTATTTTTTTCCACATAAGTTGACAATACATACACATCCCCATCGTTTCCTAGAGGTAAGAGACCAAAGTCCAACTCTACTTCTGGAATAAGAAATTGATAATACAAAGTTTTCCCTTCTACGTATCCTATTTCTTGAACCATTGTATCCAACTCATGCACGAAGAAAACGACAATATCTACGAAGTCAACATAGTCTAGTGTTCCATCTACGTACATTCTCCCATGGATTTCAGTGAATATCCCACCGTGATGAATTTTTAGTGTGAAGTAGTTGCCTATTCCCTATGAAACATAGAATAACAAACAAAATTTCAACTATCTGGGTGTAATTTGAAATCGAAAAAATGTATGACCACGTTAGTAAGTCACTTACGGTATAACTTTTCCAAATCATAGTTTGATGCTTGTGTGTGTCTGGAACGAACCGACCATAACGTTAACACCATTGTCTTCTTCAATCGAACTGAAAGATGATCCTTGCGTTGGAGAAGACGACGATGAATGAAAAAGGTTTATGGGTATCTGGAAGATGATCTTTGCAATTAATTGCAAAGATCATCTGTATATTATGCATAATGAAGGATTACAATGACGAATAAATGAAAAGACAAAAATACCCCTACACTAACGGTACAAAAGTAACGGGGTTAGGGTCAAGGAACGATCGTGTAATGAACTGAAACTATAAGGACCATTAGCGTGACTTTTTCCTAGGAAGTCCTTAATGTGAGGGTTTGTTTGATATATAGCTGACTGGGTTCGGTGAGCTGTTTTGGCTGACTCGGTCCAGTAAAATCTCATTTGATAAAGGGCTAAAAACCTCTGACCCTGACCAATTCTCTGACTCGGTCATGTAAGATCGCCTGATTCGGTCCTTCCCAAAAAAGAGACTGACTGGGAAATTTCCCCACTTTGCCCTGAGGCTTTGAAAGATCCCATCGTGAACGACACAATGCTCTCTTCCTCCATCGGCCCTTCCTAGCCTTCAACCTCCTTCCTTCGCCATCTCCTTCCTCCATCGGCGCGAACCATTCAATCGATATATGTTATGCGGTCATACCAGGTGGTCGGCCCAAAAAAAACATATGTGTCCTGAAACAAGAAGAACGCCTCTTCCATCTATCGTTGTTCTCTCATCCTTCAGTTGGTATGATTTATGTACAAAAATATTGATTAAGCTTTAATTTATTTTTATGATGTATGAAAATCTGAAATATGAAATCTTGTTTGTATGATCTATATATAAAATCAGAATTTTGCTTGTATGATGTTGGTATGAAATCAAATTTGTTGGTATGAAATCAAAATTCATGAA